GACAATCAAACGCGAAAGCGACAGTCCGGCCGGGGTTCATTCAAGGACACCGCACGTGTTAGTTTGCCTGAAATCGTTGCTTTTTAGTGCAGGCGGCGCGTGTATGTGTGGATCATTTTCTGGGCGCGTGGTCGAACATCGGGGGGGCGTCCGAAACGAAGCCGACCTTGCTTGCCGTCACCGGCGTTTCGCCCCCTCGGCCTTATCACCGGGGTGATGGTAGATTCTTTGGCGTAGGGCACTTGGACCAGTACGGATATTAGAAGGTACTGGGCGGAGACCGGAACGGTTTTTTAATGCGAATACAACAACAACAACAACAACAACAACAACAAGGGCAATGCTTAACTGCATCAAATCCTCTGTCGGGTGTACAGTATGCATGTTCCCGAGGAACGAATACAAGTCCGAGCGCCTAGATGGCACCGGCAACAGCAGCAGCAGTAGCAGCAGCTCAGGCCTGCTGCCCGTCGCTTTTCCTTACTCCCGCTCCCCTTCTCACAACCCACACACACAATCTTCAAAAAGCGATTTGTGTTGTCAACCCCGCAGAGATTCACGTCTTTGATTCGTAGCGCGGTCGATGTTAATAGTAAACACACACGTTAACACTCTTGAAAACAGGGTCCGGCGCAAACTACATCATCCCGGCGGTGCTCAACATCAGCCTCTTGCAGCGCTTGGGCGCGAACGGAGGGCTGGTGTCGGAGATCACCCTGAACAAGGCCATCATCCTCTTCGGCGCGGTGTTCATGGTGATGGGCACGATGGTCACCTTGAAAGAGGCCGGTGCCCACCATTGACACTGATGAGATTACAGCAGTACTATTAATAACTGGTGTGTGCTCAGAACACGCCCTCTCCCCGTTGTTGTGACCGAGTCTGTTAGTCTCTGAAATACTCGCGAAAGTAACTCATAAAAGGGGGGGGGGGGGAAAGCCTAGGCGAAATTCTGCTGCAGATGGAAACACGCCTCGTCGAGGGAAACCCCCCGCCCTCCAAGCGGGGTATGGATGAAATCCCATGGTCTGGGGATTGTCACGGCACTCTCGCCAGGATCGATGCGTTGCGCGGCAGAGACAGAGGGGTGACACACCACTTGTACAAGTTTTTTTGCTTGTTTTTGAACGGGCGGGCGACGTTGTGCCAGTAGGCCAGCTATGGTACGCACGGCGAAAGGGCTTTGTTGTTGTGCTCTGTTGCTTGCGAAGTCGTCATGACTGTGCGTGCGCACAGCGGGGTAAAGGTAGCGGCGGCGGTTCTCGGTTTGCAGGCGGAGAAGGCGTAAAACACAGCTATCGTCCCCCCGTTCCCTTTTCGCCGGTCGCCGAGAGGCTTTCCTGCCCTCCTTATTTAGTTTTTCACGCACACATTCATGTTTCAAGGGAAATACCTTGATCGCCGACAACACTGCAAACGATGTTTTGTGGAGAGGGTCGTCAGACGAGAGCTTTGTAAAAACCCTTGAATCGAAAGGAAGCAGATCTGTGCTAACCCATCAGTCGGCGGGTGGTTGTGTGTGTTCTTTGTTTTTGGCGGTGGGGGGTTAACTCGTGAAACATCTTAGAAAGTTTTGACTTCCGGGGGCTGGAGAAACATGTGCAACTTGTTGGTGCCGGCGCGAGGTGTGATTGACCACGCCGGACCCCTGTTGTGTCACTTGAGAGGTGTTGGTGATGCGGGCGCTGTTGTTGCTCCACCGCTTCGAAAGCAGAGTCTAGAGAGTGAAACGCAATGGCGTTGCATTACGGCACCGACTTAAGACGACAAGCTGACTGATCGCCCAGGACTCTGCAGCTTACGCTGCACGCAAGATGTGTAACGGTTTCTCCGGGTGCGACAGAATCCAGGTGTGGGACCGTTGCCGGGTATAAAACTTCTTAGCTTGGGCCCCGATGCGGCGTGTTGATGTGGAGCCGAGGATGCATGTGCTAGCCAAGGTCAGCTGTGTTTTGTCTTCCGTGAATGGAGACGACAGGCACGTGGTACCTGCGAGAATGGAAAACATTGATGTTATCTTTTGTACGGCAGCTCCGGAGGATTTTTGCGATGAACTAGAAGTAGAGAATAGTTTTTTTTTTTTAGTTTGGGATGACGAACCGGAGGCTTGGTGCAAAATAAGCTTTACACGTTACGTCTTTTATTCGAATTTCCGTCAGAAAGAAAAGTTGTCAAGGGTGTGCAAACATTGGTGCTATAGGTTGTTTGGTGACACTGCGAGACAGGCTCGGCTCTTCGGCGATCGGCCGTGTGTTCCCTTTCCCTCCACGACATTTTCCGTCTTTCGGGTAGGGGTTGAAACGGTACGTGCGTCGACAAAGCCTGACCGCGGTTGATTCAAGATATGACTCACGATTACGCCGCGTATGTATGAGTCTCCAGGGAGCTCGGCGGCGATAAGCTCACAGGCGCGCACAACGACCGTTTTCTCGGCAAATCCAGCCGCGGCGATGGCTGTTTGCCAAAAACGAGAAACGTCTTGACAAGAAAACAACGCCCTCTCAAACATGACACCTGTTAATTGAGAGTTTGACGCGCCACACTACTGCTGCCACCTATATGGCATGAGACTTTCCTAACGATAGCCCATTTTTTTTTGTCAGCGTACTGCGAACAACGCATGTCACGAGCTCGCCTGATATGGGAAGGCAGTGCACAACCCATGTCCGACCAAGCTTTTGCAAAAGACAAATGCTTCAGGAAAAAAAACAGGCGTTCAAACAAACACACACGTTCACCGCGTTTGATTCGCGTTGGCCGTTATGTACACAGGAAAACATCCTATCCCACACTTTTGATCTGATCGCACGCGCCACACCGGTAGTTTCTTCCTACGCCACCGCCCACTCACGCATCGCCCGCAAAAGATCGACGATGAAAAATACGCCGCCTTCAAATTCCGATAGTCTCACACAAACAAACAAGGAAAAGCTTCCGTCGCAAAAATGGCCACGCTCCGCTCACTCGTGAACGATAGCCCGAACGGCCAAGATACAGAATCGCGCCCAGGCATCCTGGCGGTGTTCGTGGTCTCGCCTTGCAAGTTTGCACGATCAAATATCCAACTCGTTGTTGGAATCCGTACAGTTGGTGCGAGCTACATACGTACTTCGTACGCACTCTACCAGGAGGTTCCTCTCCGAGATCGCATGATCGTTTCCTCGGGAAAATCGCCACGGAGTGGTGCTTCTACCCTGGCGGTCTGAAAAACTACTTCTCCGACTGCTGTAGGGGACGACTGGTGAAGGTCATAACTCAGAGCAGCAAAGTCGAGCTACCGTTCTTTCTCACACGCATATAGTCTACATCGTGGTGCATTCTTTATACTTTCAACCGAGCAACACGCACCCGACGTACTCGCTGTTGCTGTCAACAGGAACAAATCGAACACACGACTACCCACCGCGCGCCAAACCTGCAGTGGCTATGCACCGCTGAGCTCTTCTACCGAACAGAGAACGAGGTCTCACGTGTACAAGACAGTGGTATGGACTACAAGTCGAAAAGATGGGCGTGGAACAAGACGTGTCGCTCACCCACGAGGAAACACTACAGCAATACCTGAGTGACTACCGACGGAGAGCAAACATAAACATCCATGTCATGTGGTCGTTTCGTCTGCCTGTGGTACGGACTAGTCCAATTATCAGTTGCGTTAGGTACCGGCTTTGCTCATCCTCAACTGCCGCACAGCCACCTAATTGTGTTGTTGATTTATCCAGGAATGGCGTGACGCACAGCGCAGTCGCCACGTGACGCTTCTGCACTGCTGTTGGTCCATGACAAATGACCAAGTGCGCGACCAGGTATCGGCGCCGCCATTCGATCCTAAGACTGTAGCCTTGGTCACAGGCCGACTTACTATGCTCAAAAAGACATGACTCTAATACGATGGACCCGAAGGGTTCGCAAGTCAATAAATCAACTACGGTGTACTACAAACCAACATAGTCTACCATACATAGCACGCATCGCGAGGGGGTGAGTCTACTTGCAGGCCCCTTCGCATGTTGTGCTGCTGTTGTGATGAAGCGCGAACCCCCCCCCCCCCCCCCCCCCCCCCCCCCCCCCCCCCCCCCCCCCCCCCCCCCCCC